CAACCTGTTAGTCCTCTAACATCTTTCCCTGTGGGGGTGGAGACAAATTTTCCTCGTGAGGCAGCGTGGCACAAAGGGTTTGGAGGAAGCTCCACAGGTCGACCATCAGCTGTGTCTTTGGAGCCCCACAGCCTTTGAAGGTGGACCTGCTCATGGGTTCCCTGTAGTCTCCAAGACATGCAGGTGTGGTGGGAGACATAGGAGACGGGCACTCCGGCTTTGGGAGTGATATCTGGGCAGCACAGAGAGCTCACGCAGCCTCTCCCTCCAGGGGCAGAAGGCTTCACGACACAGGAGGACCAAGAGATGCTGTCCCGCATTGAGAAGCAGCTCAAGCGCCGCTTCGCCATCGGCTCTCAGGTGTCGGAGCACAGCATCGTGCAGGACTTCATGCGGCAGGTGGGCCAGGGACCCCGTGGAGGGTTGGGCTGTGAAATGAGGGACTCCAGGCTGCCACTCAGGGGGTGAAACCCCTTCCCTAAGGGGTGGCTGGAGAGCCTTTTGGTCATACTTGCTTTTGAAGTTGTTCGTAGGGAGTGGTGTGCGATGTGATTGCAGAGTTTAAGGGGAGTGAGGCGAGTACTCGTGTTTCTGCAAAAGCGCTGAGGTTTGGGGCTGTTTGGGTAGGTTGGGGTCCCACCCTCGAAACCAGAACTGTTTGATTTGTGAGACTGGCTGCGGTCAGACCTGAAGTAATGAAAGGGGAAAGCAATGTCAGCACCTGGTGCCACTGGGCTCCCTCCCTCGGCAAGGCACAGCCAGGCATTAGCAGTGCTTGCAGGTTCCCGCTGGGCTCCAGTGAGCTTTTCCCTGCCGGTTGATCTCCCCCTGCTCTCCTCTTCTCCAGAAATACCCAGAACACGCCATCTACAAGGTGCTTCAGCTGATGATGCGTCGGGGGGAGATCCAGCACCGCATGCAACGCAAGGTCCTCTACCGCATCAAGTGACCTCCCCGGCCGCGGCGCGGGGACGGAACCGCTGCTGCCTGCCGCCTGCCCACGTGCGGGCAGCGTGCCCTGTGGGGCTGGAGCCTGCTCCTGCAAGAAGTTTTTCCTTGTGGAACCAAACAGCTCAGGGCCTCCCTCTTGAACCAGGGTTTGGAGTTGTTGGGGTTCCCTTTGGGTGCTCTGTCACCGTGTTAGGTCGATGTTTCTTTGAACTCCACAAGCTTTTAGTTTGTATTAAAATAAAAACTGCTAGTGATGGCTCAGGGTGTTTGGCTGCCCGGGGGGGGTGAATCCCCTTCTCCCTTCGGAGGCAGTGCAGGATTTTGGTTGGAAAGGCATCCCTCTGCTTGCCCCGTGCCCGCCCTGGGGACCCAGCCCCATGGGCAGCACCAGCAGCCCTGAGGACAGAACCTCATTCCTCGCTCAGGGTTTGATCTGTCTATTGAGGTACAAATCCTGTTGGCGCAGGCTGCCCCACTGGGCTCAGCGGTGCGGGAGGCACCTTACCTGGTCACCACGTGTAGGCTGCTGCCATCTTCCCTGTCTGCCTGCAGCGGCGAGGGAAATGACCTGTTCTTCCCTGCTTCTAAGCTGCTGTTTGCTTGTCCCTCCTTCCCCTCTCCAAGGGCTGCAGCAGGCAAACGCTTTACCCTTGCAGAGTAAAGGGGTGCATGAAAGCCTTGCTGGAGGCATAGGCAGAGACCTCCACTCGCCTCAGTGAGACTGGGGACACAAGGTGATGCCCAAGAATTGTGTGCCCTCTTCCAGGTAGCCTCTGCCACCTCCTTCATGTGCCGACGGCTGGAGGGAGGGTTGTCCTGCTTGCCAGGAGCCTCTCCTGGGCTCTCTGCCCTGGGTGGACTGGTGCAGCCACTCGCCCTTCTGCGTTTGCGGCGCGACCTTGCACTTGCCAAACTCGCAGGTCTTTGTAATTTCTAGCAAAGTAGTATTGGTTCTTACAAGTGTCCTCCCGAAGACATAAAGCGCAGGTAGGTCCCTGCGCTCAGCAGCTCTGGTCCAGCTGGGAGGTGTGAGAGCACCAGTGGGGGACTCTGAAGATGGTGCAGCGTCAGGCGTTGCAGGCGAGTGAAGCCGCTGTGGGTGCTGGAGAAGCTGCTGCTGTGTCTGTGAGTGACCTTCAGGCTGAGAAACACACCCCAGGAGAGGCTTCGTTAGCAGAAGCAGCGTTCGGGGGCCACCAGAGGGTACCAGAGCCTTGAGGATGCTGTGCTGTGGTGCTGCACACTGCTCTGCATCCTCCTCGGAGAGGGGAAACCAAGGGGTCCCTTTGGGGTGGGGTGCAGGATGCACCCAGCCTGGCAGCTGTCACACAAGGGTTGGGCTCCCCTGTGACCCATGGGGGCTGAAGATTATCCCTGCTTGCTTCTGTTGGGTGTTCTGAGAGGTGCATGGTGCGGTCCGGACACGGCTGGAGCTGGTTATGGGGGTCAGTGTTCCATCTGCAGGGGACTGGGGTGGTGGTGGCCTTGACAAAATCGACTGCACTTTTGAGGAAAACAGTACCCTGCTCTTTGTCATCCAGGTTTTCAGATGGGCAAGACCTTTGGGGGGGCTGGAGGGGAGCAGAGGCTGGCCCGAAGGCTCCCTGCAAGGATGGGTCTCTGGAAACCTTGCACCAGTGATTTTTATTGCCCCGTATTTTTGCAGGTGCCAGGCACCTCGTGGGGCTTCTTGGACCAAGCAACGCTGAGGCAAAAGCGGGCACCCTTCTTTTTGCTTTCAAAGAGATGCCTGCTCTCCCCACCCTGCTCCCTGGCTGGGGAGGCAGCTTCCCTGAGCTGCTGCTCCATGGGGAGGATCAGCTCCATGGAGGAGGAGTAAGTGGAAGTGGGAATAACAGGGCAAGATCTTCAGCTGGAGACTGAAGTTCCCAAAACTGCGGATTTCTCTTTGAAAGCATCCCGCCCCTCCCGCAAGCTCCCATGTCCCTGGTCAAGGACTCGATATTTTAGCATCGAGAGGTGGCACATTAGAGCAGGTTCAGCACAGCCCTGAAGCAGCGGCGTTGTGTTGTGGCTGTTTCCCTGCCATGTGCCATAGCCCATGCAGTGCTGTAGTAACGGGTCCTACAGGTCTCTTAGCCCCTGCCGCCCTTTCCCAGTATCTCTGTCCTTGCTTTGGAGATGCTGGCAGTACCTGTCTTATCTATGGTCCTTCTTCCAGAGGTGCAGCAAGAGCAAAACACAAGTGAGTATGGGACTGGTACCCACAGCCTCTGGAGGAGGCTGTGAGCCTCCATTCCTAGGCTTGGAAAGAGCACCCAGTGATGGAGAAGCTCTGTGGAGGGGAGTGTCCTGGGAAGGGGACTGGCAAGGGGAACACAGTGCAAAGGGCTCCATTTCCATCACTTTTCCCTCCTTCCTTCCCTCCCTTCACCTGCAGACCTTCCCTCAGCGTTTCCCCATGATCTTTGCTCTGTGCTGGAGCAGTGGCACATGGCTGGGTTTTGGCTGCTGACTGCCACTGGTGATCATGTGGTGCTCACGGGTTTAAAAAGAGCCAACATCTCAAGGTACATCAAACTGTGCAGGGTGTTGGCAGGTGCGGAGGTTGGAAATTCTTTTTGTTGGTTTTGTTGTTGTTGTTTTCACGACATGGTAGGGAACAGAGGTATACTTCTGTGACGGGGAATGATTGATCTCTTCATGCTATGAAATGTGTTGATTATATGGTATGAGGTTATGTAAGTGTACGTACGGCTCGAAACAACATTGTTTAGCAACTAATGTATGCAGATCTATCACAAGAAGCAAATATGCCCAACTGGCATCATCTTGGAACTCGAAATCACTGATTAGTAATGGCTTGTTTTGATCATTGCACTGCAGATGGAAGTTTTGGGAGGAAAAGCAGTTCTCAATTAGGTAAAGTGGTAGTGCTTGGTGGTATCTGCTTGATAAAGGATAGGTGGTCCTTCTGGTGAAGATGACCAGATTTTTCCTGGAGAAGGTGTCTCTTCTTGGTCATCCGCGAGGTTTTGGCATGCTCAGACTTGGGAGGGAGTCCCTTGTCTGGGTGTCCTTAGATGACCAAAAATACTGTTCTCAAATCCAAGGCCAACATGGAGAGTAAAACCAGACAGACGTAGCCACTTCACATCTGAGCAGGACAGCATTCCCTTACCTAGTCTACAGAGGTGACCTTGTCCCTTCCTTAACTCAGTGCTGTCACTGGCATGGGAGGCCTCTTCCCCACCCTTGGCTTGTGTCCTTGGGAAGTGCAGTTGGGTGAGTGTAACCACCCCAAACCAGGTAGCCACCAGGGATGCTTAGGTCCCTTTGACTCAAAGCTTGGGCTTGTGTAGGAGCCACCCGCCTCTTGCTACAATGAACTGGCCCCTGAGGAACTTGCAGATTACATGTAATTGCAGCACAGGTAAGACAAGGACCTGTTGGACCAGGTCCAGAGGAGGGCCACAAAAGTGATCAGAGGGCTGGAATACCTCTCCTATAAAGTAAGGCTGAGAGCTGGGGTTCAGCCTGGAGAAGAGAAGGCTCTGGGGAGACCTTGTTGCAGCCTTCCAGTACCTGAAGGCACCTACAAGAAGACTGGAGAGGGCCTTTTTACAAGGGCATGCAGTGACAGGACAAGGGGTAATGGCTTTAAGCTAAAAGAAGGCAGGTTTACATTACATATAAGGAAGAAATTATTTTACCATGAGGGTGGTGAGGCGCTGCCCCAGGTTGCCCAGAGAAGCTGTGGCTGCACCCTCCCTGGAAGTGTTCAAGGCCAGGTTGAATGGGGCTTTGAGCAACCTGGTCTAGCAGAAGGTGTCCCTGCCCACAGCAGGAGGGTTGGAATGAGATGATCTTTAAGCTCCCTTCCAACCCAAACCATTCCATGATTCTGTGATAATTCTGCATAAGACATGTTAATCTGAGCAAGAGAAGGAGAGTTTCTCACTCCAAAGAGATCCAGTGCACTGAGTTCTTGACAGCCTTTTTGGTTCCCTGTGGGAGGGCTGGGTTAGGATTCATCTGACCAGGCATCACGAGCTGTGTCTGAGCAAGATGCTTTCTGTGTCAGTGCAGGGGAGTGAGCGCTTCCAGACAGCACATTGCTTTATCCAAAGTAAATGTTTAAAAGCAACCAGAGAAGCTGTGCCCTAATTGCATTTGTTTTCTCTCTGTTGACTACAAAAGGAGGTCAGGGCAACTAGAGTAGGTATTTTTGCATCAGAGGCATCTCGAACTGGGGGGTTGTGCATATACTTCCTGTGTGCTGCACTGCTGAATCGGGGAGAAGGTCTTTGTTGAAGGCTTGATTTGGGTAGCTAACTTCAGGGCAGCTTCACTAAGTTTGATTCTTTTTCCTCTAACACCAAGCTCATCAGAATATCTCTGAAATGTCAGTGGAGCTCCACTGCTGTGAAATCCAGCAAAGCTGAGTCATCACATCTGCACCACTCAGATCTCTTCCATCTCCATGTAGGATGGGAGCTGTTGCAATGCAGCAACTTAACCTCTGAGCATGTTGTGAGTGTCACTTCCTCCATAAAATACAACAAAACCGAACTGCAGAGTCCTGAGGGCTATTGCTCAAGGATGTGAGATAAACACTGGCAAGCGGAATATGCTGATATGGGCAATATGAGAAACGATCTGAGCTGGTCCACCAGGCACCCACCTCAGATGAAAGAAGCCGGGGCTCCTTCCCCCTTTCTGCTACTGACTAATATATACTTACCTAATATATACTTACAAATTACAAATTACCTAATATATACTTACAGATATCTGAAGGGTGGGTGTCAGAATGATGGAGCCAAACTCTTTTCAGTGGTGCCCAGTGACAGGACAAGGGGCAATGAGCACAAACTGAAGCACAGGAAGTTCCGTCTGAACATGAGGAAGAATTTCTTCCCTCTGAGGGTGATGGAGCACTGGAACAGGCTGCCCAGGGAAGTTGTGGAGTCTCCTTCTCTGGAGATATTCAAGACCCACCTGGACAAGGTCCTGTGCAGCCTACTGTAGGTGACC